CACACACACACACACACACACACACACACGTGCGCACAAACAAACAAACACACACACACACACACAATAACTTTAATGTAATAGATATCTGCATCCATTGGGTGTTGTGTTTGGAATCACCTGCTTCGTTTTAAGGTGGTAAAACAAATTGTTTGTATTTATTCCTTTCTACACACTTTGCAGATTATTTTTTTCTGCACTCCACCTGTTTAATCTGTGTGCGTTCTGGCAAGGTGACAATCACTATAGTCGTGCTTTGGAGTGCACGCAGTGTGCGTGCATTCGGCCGTGCGTCGTCGCGCTATGACGGCAGGAGAAACGAGGTCCAGACTGATTTTTGTGCGTCCCACCTGAGCACTGACGTCACCTGCACTGACAGTCGTCTCGCTGTGTGGAAATGAATGGAGAGCGAGCGACGTCGCCTCCCGTGTGTCGAGCCCTTCACACATGCAGCGGCGCGCGCTCCTCCCGCAGCAGGCAGTGTGGTCGGTCTGCATCCGACCGGAGGACGCGCCGTCACGTAAACATGTAAACAGTTCGGCGTTCATTTTCACACACCCGAACCAGGTCTGGATAAGTTTTTCCCCTCTTCATTTGCGCTCTCAGCCACGCTGCTTCCCGCTTCCTCTGTTTTGACTCCAGCTGGTTACATCATCAAAAAGAATTGCGCGGTTGGTCGGTAGACTACAGATCTCTATCATAGGACTAATTTATATCGTTTCTACAGTATATCGTTTATATCGCGCATTCCTAGTACATATTTTAGAATCCTGTCTCCATTATTATCATGAAGCATAAGATTACAGGTGGCTCAGTTGGTAGGGCTGTTGCCTCTCAGCAAAAAGGTTGCCAGATTGAAACCTGGCTGGGGACCTTTTTGGGTAGAGTGTGCATGTTCTCTCTGTGCATGCGTGGGTTTTCTCTGGGTACCTTGGTTTCCTCCCACAGACTAAAAACATGACTGGTAGGTTAATTGATAACTCTAAATTGTCCCTAGTTGTGAGTGAGTGAATGGTTGTTTGTCTCGATGTGTCCCTGTGATGGATGTGCTACCTGTCCAGGGTGTACTCTGCCTCTTGCACAGTGACTGCTCGATATGAACACCAGTGAGCCTGAAAGGAAGAAGCAGGTAAAGAAGATAATAGATGGAATGGGTATGATTGCAGGAATCAGAGGYCAGATTTGTAGAATTAGACATACTTTGCAAACTTTATGATTTAATTGTCTTCTGAAACAATTTCTGATTATTCTGTGACATGAGGCAGATTCCTCCTAGTTAACAATCTAATGAACTAAACAAGACAAACAAAAAAGAGGTACTCTGAATGGCTCTCATGGGGGAGCTACTTATTGTCCCAATTGCCCCTCTGTCTTTTCGTTTCATTCCACATCGATTCCTGTCCTCGTTGGTTATGCTCTGTCTGCTTTAGCACACACGGGTGGTGTAATCAGTTAGACGTAGCCTTACTGTTACCTAGGTCCTTAACACTGATATTTCTTCCTTCAAGGACAAATGGTGTAGGAGAARGCAGATCCCGTGTGAACTCCCAGTGCTCTCGCTAAGCAGCAGATCCCTTTTCAGCGCCAGCTGTTCTCTCAGATACACCAGGCCACGCTGAAATTCTCTTAATATAATTCTGTGGGCTCAGGAGAATACTGCAAAACAAGCGTGCCAATGAGGAGAACGTTGAATTTTTCATAAGTGGGCTTCAAGCTCGCTGTGTTAGTGGGCAGCGCTCTCATTCATGAGCAGATGTTCAGTGCAGGTTACACTCTGCAGTTAATGTGAACTTACTGGCCTCTCTGCCATTGGCTGCAAGGACGTTGGCAGCGATCTGACATCTGAGAATTACTCCTAGTAAAAGTGCGGGCCTGGAAAGCGTTACCTGGCCTTTTTTAGCCACTTCCCAGCCCAGGAGCTGGATTCTGGATGGGGAAAAGCACTGACAGCCCATCCGTCTTCAGTCCGACAGTGATGAAACACTTGCCACTGTGTGCTTGGGGAATAGAGATGAATTTCTTGCAAACTGATAATTTCTGAAAGTTTTATATCTACTTTTGATGACCGGTGAAACATGAAGTAATTGCACTCGGTTAATTACGTTGTTTGTGAGACATAAATTCCTGCAGGTACTCGCCCCTGTCATTAGAATGGAACAATAGCACTTGCAATGAAAGTATTCTATTACCCTTGAAAGAGGAAATTCATAGAAACACGGCACCTGTGAGGGGGTAACTGTTTGGCCCTGAGTTGAAACCAGCTGGTGCTGTGGTCGGCCTGCTGGGTTATATTCTCTCCCCAGCCTGGTGCTTCAGACATCTGCGTGGCCAGACTGCCCAGCCACGTTTTGATGTGGCTATACAGATCTGTAATAGTTTCCCTCTAACTAAGCAAACGGCTGTGTGATTAGTGTGTGTACGTGACATCAAGATTAGCAGGCAGCGTGCCAATCATCCTGAGTTTGTGTGAAAGTCATCACACTGAAGTTGTTTCCACTGCACATCTCATTTTCACGTTCTAATTGGTCGTTTTCAGGTTGGCTTTATGAGAGCAAAACTAATTAGTGTTTCTAAATTCAGCAGAAAAAAAAAGTCAGCTAGCGTGATTGTTCTGGTTTCGTCTTCAGTGTCAAGCACTCAACAAGAAAATAAGACTAATCGCTTTCAAATCACTCAGATTTTCAGGCCGTAACTCCTGCTCTCCTGGCATTTAGTTTGGTGAGATCAGGGAACAGTAACTGCCCTCTCACCTGTGTACTTTCTTTGTGATTTGTGGGAAGTTTGGACTTGGAGCCGGTGGAAAAAAAAAAAACAATAAAAAAAATAACAATGCGTTGCAATTTAGGTGGGGTTATTTCTGCTTTGATTGTGAATGTCCTGCTGACAGGAGCAGCCCAGAAAGTTTACAGTAGCTGTGACATTGCTGTTACCTTTATTCAAAATCCTCCAGCTGCAGCGAGCCCTCAGGAAGCCCGGCACAGGCCCACATGGGCGGCCGGCGGCCCACGGAGAGGGGAATGAGCCCTGTTTGAGTTGGCAGATGCTCTGCTCTCGGAGAACTTTTGCTGCCTCTGCAGAAAGGCCAGTGGCGTCGACTCTGGTGGGGCGGCGGTTATTCAGGGGGCAGGATGGGCTTTTTCCACCTCTCCTCCCTTTCAGGAAACACATTTTGCCGTTTTGTTTCTTGTGTGTTTGCAAATGGAGGAAAGGAGTTAGGGCGAGAGGACATGGGGCACTAAATGACAAAGCACGGCTATGAGAAAGTGGAGCCTAACGTTTCATAATTGGAAAAGGGCAGTTTATTGTTGTGATCAAGCCGGGTCACAAGGAGGCTTCTGCTAACTCGCTGTAATGGAGTTTCATGTAAACAGAATATAGTCTTTTATTATTTTTCCAAACGTGCAGAGGGAATTTACTCTTCAGAAGCCAGTAATTAAAAAGTGCTAGAGCCTTTATTAAATTAAATTGGACTCGGTTACAGTTTTTAAAAATGTCAACATTTATTTGATCAAGAGAATTCTTTATTGAGCTGATAAATATGCATGTAGGGATGTTTAAAGGCAGGTACTAAATTTAGTTCTAGTGAATATTAATTTGACAGTGACCTGTTTTTGCTCTGTTCACTATTGTTCTACTTGCTGTAACTCAGAGGTGCACACAATATAAAAGAACATCAGAGATGATCTTAATGCATATTTATCAGTACGATAATTGTGGAAAATTTTGTTTTTCCTCTTTATCACATGAGTATTTTAAATAATTTCCACTTTCTCTCTTTTTTCCATTCTCCCACTCCAACCACACACATTTCCCTTCTTCTTTTTCCTTCTTCCACTTCTTMTTCTTTTCCCATCTACTGTATGTGCTGCTTGCTGGACCAGCCAGGAGACTTCAGTGGTGACATCCTGTGGAGCCACAGATTAAAGTAAGTGCCTCACAGACACATCAGCACAACCACTTCAAGTTTTGATCTAAGTTGTTGTTTTAAATACATTTTTTTTTTATAATATGAAACGTGTTGTGATTTGAATGCCACAAAAAGATAAGAAATGGTTTGCATAGTACCAAACTTCCTTGTTTCCCGATGCAGTTGATCATTGACAAGTTTTGAATGTTTAAAGTGTGCTGACAGCGACGAAGCTCGTCAGTGGGCCTCCTATTGGTGCAGACAGTTAAAGGTTAACCGTGAACTTGTCAAGTTCAGGACAGTGCAGCCAGGAGCTGGCTCAGGTCTGCATCCCCGGACTATCCTAGAAGTCATTACTCCTTGTGTGGTGTATAAACACCTCAAAAACAAACAATGACCCTGGGCAGAGTCTGCACCGCAAAACAATTTCAAAGCCGGTAGTGTAGTGTAAACATGAAACATGGCTAACCTTCACGCAGGGAAGAYTTCACCTTAAACCTGCTGTTTGTTTTATAGTCCCTGTTGACCTTGGTCAGGTGTAGTTTACATCTATTCTGTTTGGTTCTGCTGGATGGAAATCTAATTTTATGTTGGCATTTAGGCTGAACTTCAGTGTTGTTGTGGTTCATTTTAACTGACTTATTATTATTATTATTATTATTCCATCCATCCATCCATCCATCCATCCATCCAATTATTATTATTATTATTATTATTAATCAAATTTTACTTTTTGACAGTGTTGCTTGCCAAAAATTGATATTAAATTTTGTAAAACAACCATAAAATTTGCTTTGCATAGCCCACGTCTCTGACATGATGATACATCAAAAACTAGAAGAATTTGCATTTCCTGTGAAAACGCAGTGTGAATGCTAAGTGCTGAACGAACTTCACAAAATTTATTGAAGAAAAGAAAAGCTGAAACAGTTCAAATGTGTAAATGAGCAGAACACAAGCAAAATCAAGCTACAATGAACAGAACAGTGGCTAAAAGCTAGACTTAGCAGAGCAATAGCTAAAAGTAAACCGTGCAAAACAGTAGCTAAAAGCTAAATTTTACAAAACAGTAACAAAAGGCTAAAGCCAGCAAAATAGTAGCTAAAAGCAAATTTGTAGCTAATAATTGTAGCTAGTAAGCAAAATTGTAGCTGAAAGTTAAAACCAGCAAGACATTAAAAATACAAAAGGTAAAATATAAATTTAGCAGTAGCTACTAAAAGGAAAATGGAGACAAAAAGCAGAGCTAGTAGCTGAAAAAGACTTCAAAGAGAAAATTATTTTTGAAGGAATTGAAGAGATTTCAATATATTTCTATAGACAACACTAAACATTTTGTAAGGCATAAAAGTTAGAAATGCCATAAGCTAAAGCAAACTGTATGCTGAGGCCTTTCATATTTGAATGTTCAAAATAAAATATTCAGAAGTAATTTGATTTWAAAAAAACCTGTCCGAAAAACAATGAACAGGAAAGCGATTAAAGACTCAGTGTTTTGTTTTTTCATAGTTCTCTTGGTGTGTGTCAGCTTTGTCACACTGATCTGACCGTACAACAATKTGAATGCATACTTGTTAATAAAGCTCAGCAGCTGAAGGATCAAATAGTGTCTAATGAAGGCCTGAGTGGACACCTTTTTTAAAATAGTCTCTGCTAACTCGTAAAAGTTCCACTGGAATTGGGTGTACAGGTCTCAGAGAAGAGAGAGGAGTCGAGTGTTTGGGGTTCAGAAACGGGGGGAATCTGTACATGTGTTCAGTTCAACATGTTCACATCAGAGTCAGATTGAGGCTAATGAAAGACTGATCTTAGAACACAAGCTTTACATGAATGATTCTACTTTGTCTATATCAGAAACTATTCAGCCGTGTACATTTGCTTGATTCGGCSCTGCCCAGGTCGGTTCAGCRTCTTTACATTGGGTGGTCTCACCCATTTTCAGCTCTGTTCTAAAGGCCCCCACATACTCGGGCGCACTTCGGTCYGCAGAGGTCCGCGCGGACTCGAGGCAGACTCAATGCGGACTCGAAGTGGACRTACGCGGACTGGTCCGCGCAGAGATCMATTTTTTACGTCCGCGGTGCGCACAGTGGCATGTACTGTTCTGGGTGCGACACCAAGCTGATAAAGTTGAGAATCGGTGTCATTTGTGGACGAAATAACCGTCTCATGGAGGAGATTAGAAAACGTTATGACGCGTCAATGAAGGAATTTAAAGACTTTCAGCGAGCAACAAATTTGTGGGAGGAAATAGCTCTGGTAGGTAGTTCCTTTCTTTTTTTTTCTTTTATTGTTTTAAAGCTAAAATGCAAACTATCTCTTCCTCCTGATCTTTGATATCATGACTGAAATTGTTTGAAATTAAAGAATTCGTCAGGCGGTCAGTAMGCTYGAGYATGAAGTCTCAAACATCCGCGGACAATATGCGCRRAGTCAGSGYGGCTCATGGAATGTGCACAGTATGCCCGAGTATGTGGGAGCCTTTAGAACAGGGGTGTCCAAACTTTTTTAGTGGGGGCCAAATACAGAAAAATAAACAAAGGGCCGGGCCACACACTAGAAGTGACATATTGATACATCAATAATGTGTGTATTTCTAACTCACCCATTGGGCATAAGGTCACTGTGGTTAGTCTTCGCATGGGGGGGATAAAGTACTGAGGGGGTTTTAAGGTCAGGTGAGGGGTTGGTTAGCTGTCCTTCACACCATTTTCTGTAAAATAATGAAAACATAAATGGATCAGTTTGACTGTAATAATGAGATACATTCATACATCAATAATGTGTGTATTTCTAACTCACCCATTGGGCATAAGGTCACTGTGGTTAGTCTTCGCATGGGGGGGATAATGTACCGAGGGGGTTTTAAGGTCAGGTGAGGGGTTGGTTAGCTGTCCTTCACACCATTTTCTGTAAAATAATGAAAACATAAATGGATCAGTTTGACTGTAATAATGAGATACATTCATACATCAATAATGTGTGTATTTCAAACTCACCTCTGACTGATAGAATTCAGGGAGGGAGAGAAGCTGATGTTGACTCTTCAGAGAATCATCACATTGCATTTCGGTCAGTTCTAACTGCAGACACTTTGTCTGCATCCACCAGSAAKGGGGTTGAAAACAGCTTGATTTGTTCTTCAAATTCCAGAAAAATCTTGGAAACGCTGGCTGAATTCTGTCACGACAGATTTAATCACAGACTCATATTTCTCCTTTTTAGCAGAAAGATGGGTCTTTGGAAAAGCAGACTTGATTTCAGACAGCGCAGGAAAGTGTGCAGCATTAAAGACTCGTAGTTGTGTCTCAAACAGGCGGAGCTTTACGCAGAAGGCTTTCATGTGCGCATACAGTTGTGGCACCAGCTGTTCTTTGCCTTGTAGGTTCTTGTTCAGTGTATTCAGATGATGTGTAAGATCAACTAAAAATGCCAGGGCTGCCAGCCACAGAGGGTCACTTAGTTCACGAAGAGGTCGGCCCTTTTCTTTTAAAAACTGCCGTTGTGCCTTTTAGGCTCATCCTATCAAACAGCTCCTCCGTAAAGCAAAAATTATCACCTACTCCCCACAAAAAAAATTAACAGTTGCACGGTGTCTGTGGCATCCATGCTCTCATCGCATGCTATCGAGTAAAAATCAAAACCACAAGCTTTGTCACTCACCGCCATTTCTGGAGACTCAAACTGAACGCAGTGTCACAGTCACAAAAAGGTTCTTCTTCTCTTCTCCTCTTCTCTATAATTTCGTTTCTGTGGCTGGCTCCATCCAGTGTTGAAACTGAGAAGYGCAACARAGTTGAGCTCAAAGTTCTTGTGYGGGCCATTTTCAATTATATTTTCAGAATTTTCTGCGGGCCAATAAAAATGGTACGCCTGCGGGCCGTAGTTTGGACACCCCTGCTTTAGAACGTACCACTTGCGACWTGTTACTGGGAAATTCCCACTTCCCAGTACAACTGGGCCATTGCAAAAATAGCCAGTAAAAATACAACTAAACGCAGATTTACATGGTGAATTTCGCTGGATAATTTTTAATCCTGGTCACCTCAACCTATTCATAGGATGCCATCATTTTGCAGGTAACATAATCAACATGCTTTATGGGAGATTATGGTCAATTCTGGGTTTAAAGCAGCTTATTTTGAGACATTAATACAGGACTATTAAACTAAGTTACTCAGGGGGTCACAGTTAATYAAATCCAACAACTGAGGGGCCGAACAAGTCTTATTATATTTCACCTTTTACGTTTGTTTATTTTTTTGCACGTGTTATAGATTTATAGATTACAACTGATTTAAAATCTAGTTTTCTATTAAATTAGGGAAAAACAAATGGGGCCTGCAGGACTTGAGTTTGACACGTGGTTTAGGACCAGCCTGGACCTCAGGATATACTAAATGGACCTGGAGGACACATAAGGCTTAAGGAGGTCAGACAGTACAGGAGTCTGTCCTTTCAGGACAACTGTAGTTTTTTTAAATGGTGGCAGAGAATGGTGAGCCTTTTGGGACTTTATTTCTCTTTTATTTATTGTCCTGATGCATCTCAGTAATCCAGGTAAAAAATCAAAAGGAAAAAAAATTGTATAGGTCCTCTGGACGGGTTCTTCTTTAATGAAACGTTTCGTCTCTCYTCCAAGAGACTTCTTCAGTCTGAGAGTTTCAGGCAAAATTCAGGCTTTTAAGCCCTGCCTCCAGGTGACTGATACTCACATCACATGGCTATCGTTCACACCTAATTAATACCTATTGTTAACAGGGGGTGGAGTGATACTGCCAATGGCAGAGCTGTAGGAGGGGGACAGCTGAAAACGGAGGCCCCCACCTCTGTTTAATGACGGACGGTCTTTCTTTACAAAAATGGCTTCTTTTACTCCTCTCTCAAACCAACGTTCCTCCCTATCAAGAATGAGAACATCCTCATCTCTGAAAGAGTGACCGCTGGCCTGTAAATGAGTGAAAACTGCAGAGTTCTGGCCATTAGATGTAGCTCGTCTGTGTTGGGACATTCTTTTG